ATTTGGGTGTTTCCCACTTAACCTGTGATGGGGTTTTGAGTTTGTGGAGAGGTAGCTCTCAGTTATTACTGATTGTGTAGTCTGAGATCCAATCGGCCTTAGGTTGTGCCTAGTTTTATGGATCTCTAACAAAGTTTCTGATTAAGTGGTCTCTGATATGTTGTGTTGGGTGTTCAAGAAGTCCTTCATTCAGAACATTGATCATTTAGAGGTGTATGGTCTGTGAGATCAACTGTTGGGGCTGTTTCTTTCCTTTTTTTGGCCTGGTGATGTTTGAAGCTGGTGCTTTACTGCTGTTCCTATCTTCTTGAAAAAAGTTCTTGTGATACAGTTGTTAGAAGTGTATTGTACCCTGAGTAATTGGTGTGGCAAGGTTTCTTGAGGCTGTTAACAGAGAATCAGTACTGGTTTTCCTTCCTTTTTGGTACTGTTAGTGGGTGTAACTGGGTGGTTTTTGGTGTGACTGTTTCTTGGCTTGATACAGTTGTTACAGGTACTCGACATGTTGACATTTGTACCAAGTTGGGAATGATAGATATATACAAACCAACTTGAGGGGGAGTGTTGTTAGGACTGTCATTAGTGTCTTTTTTCTATTAAGTTGTAATCAGGGGTACTCTTGTAATTTTTTTTGAAGAGTAAAATAAAATTCATTAAACAAAGAAAAAGGAATACAACAGGAAGGTGATAAGACATCACCCAAAGAGGAAAAAAACCCAAATAACCAACAAAGATCTCAAGAGTCCCAAACTAAAACCCATAAAACCACAGCTGACAACACTTGAAGCTTTTCTCAAACCAATCTCGAGCACAATACAAAAAAAAAAAGAGCCAGAAACCCCATGCGAGCAAAAGCAACCAAACCCACACCTAACCAGAAACTTAAACCCTCCTTTCTCCACGACCAAGACCTCAATCTTCCACTACAAACTCATCCTCCCGACTTGAAATATCTTCATCCCACCACTTGTCACCTTATCGATGGGTTTCTTTATTCATTTTATCTTCCCTTTTCCTTCTTTCAAACTCCTTAAAAGCCCTTCTAGCAAACTCCTCACCACCCCAAAAAAACAAACCCAAGCTCTTTCCAATCGTGACCTCTCTACCCACCAAATTCTGAAGGGTCCCACTCCCTGTCCTATTATCAATGCCCCTGTTGTTTTGTATTGTCTTGCTCTTACCATAAGCAGAGATGTCGACATTCAGATTGTTCCTTCTGTTGCTCCTCTCCTGAATGGGAAGACACAGGCCGGCTTCACACCATTGTTCCCCTATTTTCAATGCCAGATGACCTGCTGCCTCTTAATTTTTTCCTTTTATAAACCCATTTGTAATTTTCCATGGGGCCTGCCCCTGCCAAGCCAAGTATTAGCCTGGAGAATACCTTTGTCACATGCACTGCATTAAGAGTACGAGATTTCTTATTGATTGCCTCGCTCATCTGGTTCTTTTCCTTTTCATCAATCTTCCTCCTACGGCCCAGATCAACCCCCAATCTTCCTGTCGTCACCTTTTCAGATTTAAAGCCATCCTCTTTGTAACTCCCCTCCAGGTTCCCCACACCTTCTCCACCACCGGTTTCCCCTTTGTCCTTATTCTCATTATTTCTCATTTGTTCATCACCTATAGAGACACACCCTTCTCCAATCTCCTTCTCCCCCCCCCCCTCCATCCTCTGTAAACCCGCGGGAAGAATCTCACCCGAAGTCACCACACTTTCCAAAGTCCAGTATGCACCCATCTGAAACTTCAGTCGCAACAAAATCGCAAAGAGCAATGGCACCTCTGTCACCCATGGCACAGCTATCGGGCTCTTTATCCTCTAAAATCCTAGGGCTGCTTGCATGACCTATGCTTATTTCTCCAACAAAACTCTTCTTTGTCGCTCTTGTCATACTTGACGGTCACCCATATCCACATTTCTCCCTTGCTTTTTCTGCTCTCGTTTGAAGCACTTCTCAACACCAACCTTCTTCTCTTGAACTTTGGTTTGTTAATAATTAAGGCCTTTCTCTTGTAATCTCTGATATTCCTCCTCTGAATTTTCTTACTTCCCTTAGCTGATTCACCACTATGAGCCTCATCTCCGTCAGTACCTGAATTAAGTTGAGACGCAGTGTTCAGACTACTCCCCTGGATGGAGGAAGGCAATGATAGATGAGGCAACTTGTCTCCTACCGAGTCGCACACATGTCTTTCCCTATGAGACACGTGATTTCTCAAGAAGTCACATAATCCCCTGTTTCTGAGCCGACCGGGCCCTTCATCCGGTTCCGATTTTTTACCTCAAACTGGTTATGGCCACCTTCCTGAGTACTTACAGCTAATGTGACTCCAAGACTTTTGGTGGCTTGGCACCTCCCAAAATAACCTCAGCGAAAGACTTTGCACCTAACTCAATTAAATTTGAGTTGCCAACTTTATTGTGCACTTCCTTTCCATCAGGCCCACATGCCACCGCTACAGCTTCTCTAGAAATTTGGTCAGTAATCTTTGAAACGTTATCTGTCCTATCACCTCCATGTATAACCCATTCCTCTAGAAGGTCATTGTCTTCAACCTTTGAACATTTCACCCATAGAGATGTTTCAGCTTCCAACAACACCCAGACCTTCAACCAGAGACCATCCGCGAGTAAACTGATGCATCTAGGAACATCTTCATGCTTCACACCTGCAAATTTGAGTCTCGCGGCGTGCAAATCATGAAAATTATAAGCAATCAGTGCTCCGCCCAGCATCTGTAACAATCTTTCCATGGTTTCCTTATTCCACAGGTTAAAGGGGAGTCCTTAATCTCAAGGTTAACAACTGAGATGGGTACCCGAATACAAGATACATGCCAGACCTCCGCCTTTACCAAGCCATCTGGGTGTCCACCGTTTCAGACATAAATATTTCAACAGCTTCGTCAAAACCAGATAACACCACCTTTGAATCATTGAAAGGCTTGATACTCACATGACCCTTAAACTAAATCTCTCCACAATCACCTCCAAGATCCTTCCCCAGTCAGTAACTTCTTTTGTCTAATGATAAGATCACATTTTTCTCCCAGGCTCCTTTCTCCAATTCCAGATACATCCTCTGATTTCTGAAAGTATAACAGATGATAGCTTTTGGGATTTCTTTTTTTTTTTTTTAATTTTGCCTCCTTTCACTGTTTCCTGAAGCTTTGCTCGTCAGAGGCCACCAGAGCACAGCAGTAATTTGAATTTTGTCTTTCTTCCAGAATGAACAGGAACTCCTGTAATAATTAATAAATCTGCAAATAGGCACCACCCTGTTCTCTTTTTTCCTTCCGGTACACACAACTGTTTTCTGTTACCACCGAATGTCTCCACAATCGTTACAAACCATCCCTTCAAATTCTTCTTTATTTCTGCTTCAAATTTATTATCAGCTACTCTCATTGAGCTTCTCCAACCTTGTTTTTATGGAGAAAACACTGTTCCATCCATGAAACCCTTCAGCCATCCAATCGCCTCCTCTGACACTAAGATGGTAGATCATTTTTCCTCACTGATTTTTAAAATCCACCTTCCATTGATTCTGTCTACTTCAAAACAGAATTTCTTAGCTTCGACATCCATTTCTCTCCTCCATTTCACTGTTGAGGGGGGTTCATCTTCGTCTACAAGTCCAACTTCCATCTTAACAAGATAATGATCAGAATTGGCTCATGTGGCTGACAAGGAATATGTTGGTTTCTATAGAATGGGTGGGGAGATCAGCAAATGCTATGGCTGATGTGTTAGCCAAGCAAGGGGTAAATAGGGAAGAAATGTTTTGGGCTCAACAGTGACTTCTGTAATTTATTTTAATGTACTTATAAGCTTCTAGGAGGGGCTGCAGCCTGCACCTCTCCATGGGTTGTTGTACGAAATTACACTTCTAAATCAGGTTATGAATTAATAAAATTTTACTATTACTCATAAAAAAAATCAGTGAGGGTGCCACCACTGACACTTTTTGGTAAATATTTTGTTTTATTTGATGTATCTCTCCTCCCTCCTCTCTCGTAGGTTATAGTTTCAAAAACCTGGTACTAACCCCTATAGAGTAGGTTCCATTGTGTGTATGGAAAAGCATCATGAAATTCAACCAGGAGTTCAGGAGTTTAGTGAGTTTTAGGGTGGGAGCTGGGACTAGGGTGAGGAGTTTAGTGAGCTGGGACAACCCAATTGATGAATTCTAATGGAGAGAGTAGAAATATAATTTTTTTATGAGTAATAAGAGTAGAAATATAATTATTGACGAATAGTCTTAAAATAACAAATAATTTGCACCTTACATATTCAGGTTAAACCTAAAGAAATTTTGAAACTTTCCCTTCATGTAGCCAAAGACCCAAAATATAATTGTTGTTTCAAAATATTGAAGCTACCTGGCTTTTAAATCTGGATACCAAGGCATCTGTTCATACCTTAGAAATACTTTGGAATTTCACTAACATTGCAATATTTCCAATTTAATATATATATATATATAATAAAAGACAGAGAGGCTGATCCAATTACACACACAAAAAAAAAAGACTAGGGCACTGGTGGCTAGTACTTGTGCAGGCAAAAAGTTGTAGTAGTGAATGATATTGAATATGACAATTAGCAGTTCAGATGGCAGGAAGATAGAGACTCAAACAGAGGGTGAAGAAAGAGAAATTGCAAAATTATGAAATCCAACCACAATTATCTTAAGACCTTAATATACAGTTCTAGTAGGAAAGCACCTACTTCTGTCACATGGAGGAATCCTTTGGCCAATCACTTTGTAATGAGCATTCTTTGAGTAACAATAGGAGTCAAACTTTCTTTTTCTTTAATTTAGAAGCAAGAAAAGAGGGTTATGTTTAGAACACAAGGTAAGTTTCAGAAACAGAATTTGTATACCACGATTAAATATGGGTACTATGAACAATGGGGAGTTTCTTTTGGCCATGTGCATTGCATGCATGCATGTATGTATTTTTGCAGGGCAAAAGAGGATGGGGGAACAAACCTTCATTGTATTCTTGGTGTAACCTTTCCTTCTCTTCAACCAACCTACTCAGGGACATACTCTTCTCATTGCACTTGGATTGCAATTCATCTATATTTTCATTTGTAACATCAAGTACATTGGTTAAGCTTGCTACCATACTATTCTCTTGCTGTGTTTTTTCTTGGACAATGCTAGAAATGGTTTTCAACTCTCCCTGGTTGCGGAGATAATCCCCAATTGGCCCTTCTGAATTATAATCATCTACCCGTGCAAACCATCCATAAATGTTTGATCCATGATGCATCCTCTGCTCACTCCACTCCTTTTTACCATGATGATCAGTTTCAAAATCTTTCTCAAATTCCATCGCATCCCTGAATCCTGTCCATTCTTTACCAAAATCTACTATGGCAAACATAGTATGGTCTTGTTGGCTCCATGAAGTCTGAACCGATAAAGGTCTATATTTAGAAAGTTCTTTTGCAAGCCAATTTGCACTTCCACTCGCTCTGCCTTCTTCATTCTGCTTGGCCAAAATGTTAACCACAATTCCAGTCCAAGGCCAAATGTACAAATCACCATGTTCAGGATGCTCGGATGGTTTCAGTTCAGTGACAGGCTGTGATGGGCCCGGTGCATCAGCTAGGTCTATTTCCAAGTATTTTGCCAATGCAAGGTGGTTTGCCTTTTGTTTTGCACTTCTATTAGATGAACCTTTACCAACTCCAGAAGCATGTTGAAGGAGATCTTTGTAACGATAATCTTGTTTCTTCCTCCCCTTACAGAAGGGACATCTAAAGGCAACATCCGAATACTTCACTTTGTGCATTCCAGCCTTCAGTTGTTCATAAGGCTTGTCTTTGTAGTCATTGATCTCGGATTCACTTATATCAGAGTCTTCTTCGGAATTATATTCCATCAGATAAGATAAACGTGTTGCAACAACACTTTGGAAAATCCAACTTGTAAGAAGAATGGCAACTCAGAGAAAACCAAGATTCGTTAAAAGGAGTAGCTTCCAACTACAAGTTATTTTAGATGACAACCTGAGCATTAATAAGGGAAAAACAAAGTGACTATCAGAATTAGAAAAAGGTAAGTAACGAGTTGAAGGATAACACATTAAGCATCACAATAAGAAGCATCAATTGAACAAGTTGAAGAAGCATTTCAATCTCACTGACATGAATCATGAATGCATTAACCATGTTACTGGGATAAAATGGTTTTTAGAATAGTTTTAACTTGAAGGTACGAATTCTTGGGTTTTTTTTCTTTTGATAGATCAGATAATTCTTGGAAGTCAGATGGTTTTGGAGAGAATAAAGAATTTCTAATCTGAAATATAAGCTTTTAGGGTTTGATCTCAACTTTTGAGAAAGGCTTGAGACAAGAGTTGAAACCAATCATACAATGATACAAAGAATTAAAGGTAGATATGTGCCTCCACATGCCATGTGAAATAGTGATGGATGAATGCATATAAAAAGGAGAATTTTGTAAGACAGAGCTACGTTTTACATAACTAGAATGTTGAACTATCAAGAACTGCAATGTTTAAACATGTAACAGAATAAGCATACCAGGATAAGGATGTTGAAAGGGGCCACTGCTTGGTGTAGTGGTAAAATCTCGGGACTTGCAAGTGTAAGAATGTGGGTCTGAGTCCAAGAGCGTCCACTTGGTGCCCAAAAAAAAAATGCCAAGGGATAGGACTGTATCCAGTATACCCCTATAGCTAGGACCAACAATGGGTATTAGCCTTAGAAAGGAATACAAATATAAAAAGTAAAACAACACTAAAATAGAACATTCAAGTAAAGTTGAAAGATATCCCCTAAAGAAGAAAAGAAGATGATCAAGACGATTTAAACATGTAAAACCAAAGCTCCAGTATCAGATAAGGCAAGTTTTCCCCCATCTCACAGGTCGAAAATTTCCAAACAGGCAAAGGTCTTAAAAAATAATTTGGATATAGAAATGTTTCAATGTCAGAAATGGTGATTTGTAGTTTGTTAACAGTTGAACGTTCTAAAATATAAAGGATGTAAATTACGGTAGCGAAGATGTATGTGAAAATGTCAGACTAGAAGATAATAACAACGTATAGATCAAATATGATAATCTAACCAAAATTTGAGAAGAGAAGGTCAAATCCCGTAGAAACTAATTAAAAGAAGGTATGAATAGGCATAGCTAGCAAAAATGAGTGCACTAGAGGATACCGTCAAGAAGCTTTCACTGCATAAATTTACACCGACTAAATCATACTTGTCTCATATATTTTATCAAAAAGTTTGCGAGCATTAGGCTCAATTTGGAAGGAGCACAAATACAAATATGTAGAGTGCAAAACCATGTATTTTCTATTATTTTGTATGTATTTGTATCGTACATATTTGTATTCTTTCCAAACTGAGCCTTAGGAAAAAAAAAAACAAAAGACAACGTAAACATGGCTGAAAGGCTTCTCCCGAAGTAATTAATAAATTATTTTTACCCAACCAACACCTGGGCATGCAAGTAGATTGTGAAGTTACAACAACTAAAAGGGTTTCTAAGCTTCTCAATCAACTAAAAGGGTTTCCAAGCTTATTGACAAAAAAAATGTATACAAAAAGAAGACCTCAAACAGATGATCTATCTCGCATCTTTTTCCAACCGAAGAGAACATTTCTTAAAGAAAGCGAAAGAAACGTGAGGACTTTATGGACTATTAGATTCAGAGAAAACACAGTGAATACTGAATAGTAAAATCACCATGCATTGCAAAAGAAGAGCTTGAAACGCTAAAAGGAAGGAAGCGAGAGAATACAGTAAAGAAATGTAGAAAAGAAAACCCAAGAAGTTTGTGAGAGAGGATGCTGAAGAGCTAGAGTGCCGCTGCCGCGTCTGCTCCGACTACTTCCAACGGGACGACGGTGTCTGAGAAAGAGGAGCAGAGTAAAGCTTCCCAAGAACCAGCAGAGTTCAAGAGAAAATCAAACCAAGTGCCATGTGGGTCCGGTCACACTAATGTTGGACTGTCGGAGTATTATCTGACCAATTTCACGCCTCATCCTCTCATAGATTTTAGGGAACGGATCTTTGTAGGCTGGACCGGGTTGAAGGTCAATCCAGGCCTACGACTTGGGCTTGGGCTTGAGGCTCGAATTCGGACCTTTAGATGAGGAGTCCGGATCCTTTCCTTACTGATCAAACCTCACACCGATCTCACGATATGTCCTGGCCGCACATCTCCCATACTTATATTTATTATTCATGGGAGATATTCTCAGTACAGGGTGGGATGTGGCTGTAAGGTCAGTGTAAAGCGTAGTCTGTGAATAACATATCCTAATTCTTAGATGAATACATTTGGTTAAACCATTGGTCTTTATTGGCCTTTGGATGAGAATATCAGATAAAGTCACAAGTTTTACAATATTTTGCACCCAAGTGCAGTGGCGGAGCCTGAAAATTTCTTTTTGGGGGCCAAGTTAAACAGGATAGGGATTAGAAGTAGGGTTTGGGAAAATAAACATTTTTTTTTTAATTTGGGTTTGGGTCTATTACATATTTAAAAAAAAAAGTAAACATTTTTTTTTTATTTTGGGAATTGGAGAAGCGAGAGTGATACTTAACATTTTAGTTCAATTTTGGGGAACCAAGGACCCACTTTATTATATTTTGACCTAACCTCTATTATTTTTTTCTTTTTTTGATAATTAAAAGGTTTCATTCAACAAAGAAAAAAAACAGATACAACACTAAACAGGCGGAAAAACTACACAAAAGAAACCAACAAAATAAAGAAGACAGACTCAAAAAAAGGAACCCCACTAAGGAGGCTGAAACGAGTCCACAGACAGAGCATCCTGAATTTCTATAAGAGAGGTCCAATACAAAGTATCTTGACCTGTCACACTCACTCTAGCCAACAAATGGACTGGCTTGTTAGCCTCCCTTTTAATCCATTTAAACAAAATGGATTTATGATTTAGTGCACAATCTGTAAATATCATCAAGAATATGCCAAACATTTGGGTTGCAATCATAAGCACCAGCAGCAAGGTTAGATAAACCCAAAGAAACAAAAAGATCACAACATTCACGGATTGCAAATAATTCAGCATATAAAGTCGGGTGGAGTATAAATACAGATATATAGAGTGTAAAATCTTGTATTTTATATTATTTTTTATGTATTTGTACTGTACATATTTGTATTTATATTCTTTCCAAACTGAACCAAAGGAGAAGTAGCTTTACAAAACCCTGATTTTCCAATCAAAAACGACCCAGTGTCAAACCTCATCACAAAACCATAACCACTTATCCCTGTTTCGATAAAACTGCCATCAATATTGACTTTCGCAAAACCTGTATCTGGGAGATTCCACAAAAAAACTGACAGGATCCACAGAGTTATATAGAGAAGATCCTGTTGAGTTCAATGTTTGTGATGGTAACTTGAGTTCAAATTCAAATTTTAAATTCACACTAACCGGCTAGTTGGTAAGTTTTTTGGCTGGTTGTAGCAAAGACTTGGAATCAAACCCTACTTAAACCAAGGTTAAGGGGTTATGGGTTTAAGGGAAGGGCTAACACCCCCCTACATTGTGTAGCCCCATGAAAAAATAAATAAAACTTAAGCCTCTCTCCATTCTCTCTCCCCCTTTAATAACATTAGCTCATGTAAAGTAGAGTAAAAGACTTAAACCTCCCTTCATGTTTCTCCTAAATACTGAAACCTCCCTCTCTTTTCAAATTAAACATAGACCTCCCTTGTTAGGTGATATCATTGGACAACGATGTCCCCTCCATTAACAATGCATCAAGAGGGGCGTCACATCTAGTTTTTTTTTTTTTTTGAAAAAAAAAACCAAATTTACCCCAGTTTGGATACCGTGAACTAATTTGCTCAAGCAACAACAATAATGCATCCAATGAGGGTAGCGCATTGTTTGGCCTCACCTTCCCTTCAACCGGGAGTGCTTTTGAGATCCTCCTAACTGGCTTAAAGATCTAATTGGCAGACACAAGAGTCTTGCTTTCTTTCCAAATGTGAAACCTTCTTAATGGGACCAAAATCCCATTAGCCAACTTTCTCCCTTTCAAAATCCAAAAAACCAATGGGCCCTTATATTTAACTAATCAAATGTAGATTTATTAATAAATTTAATAATTTATATTTTATTGTTACATTTTATAAGTTAAAAGTAATTGGTTTTGTTAGTGGTGTTAGTGAAGGGGTATTTCGGTCTTTGTACTTGTTGAGAATGTTGATGTGTAYTGTTATGTTAGTTCGAGTGCCTCTTACTTAAAGAAGGGCACTTAAATCTTTTCCAATAAGTTAATAATATAATAACAGGTTTGGCCGAATCTAGGGATAACTTTTTCTCTAATTCAAACCAGCCTTTCTCTCTTTCCTCTCTTTTCTCTCTTCTTCTTTCCTCTCCTACTTCTTGCTGTTTACTTTACAGTCAACGAACAAGACAGAATTCTAGGGYAGGTCAAACTTCAACATGGTATCAGAGCGAGGTTCAACAAATCAGACTTGCTAGAATTTTTTCTTCTGCGCATTCGAATTAGGGTTTCTCTTGGGTTCTCAGCTGTGAATTGGAGACTGAGAAAAGGGTTGAAAAGGAGTGATCGTCCTCTTCCCTAGGAGGTTCCTATGCCTCCAATTGTGTCGTTGGTGATTGGTTGTTGTGGTTTCTAAGCCCTAGTTAGGGCTGGTACGTGTGGTGCAGTGGTGTTTCAGCCCTTCGTGTGGTTGGCCTTCAGGCAATGAGGTAAAGTTTTTTTATGCATATTATTTGTTATGGAATACATGAGAGGTGTAATACAGTTTGCATGATGGGTTTTCAGATTGCAGTATGCTAGGGTTTATTCTGGTTTGTGTGTGATTCGAAGGGCAATAGTGTTTACTTAATGGTGAAACTTCCTGTAGCTGTGGATTAGGGTTTGTGGTGTTGCAGTTTTCAGCATTTAATACTGCTGAAATCAGTGTGCAGATTTCGRTGAGTAGGGTTTGTGGTGTTGCAGTTCTCAGCATTTATTACTGTTGAAATCAGTGTGCAGATTTCGGTGAAGTGTCTGTGTGTAGTGTGCAGTGTGTAGTG